TCTTGGACGTGACCGCTGGCTCACCAGATGTGGATGATTCGAAGGCCGTGGAGGCAATGTTGCGGCTGGCTGTCTCTAGGACAAAAGCATGTCTGCTGTTCGAAGGAGGAGGTCTTAGACGTCACCGCTGACTCACCAGATGTCGAAGATTCGAAGGTGGCAGAGGCAATGTTGCGGGTGTGTCTAGAACGCATGCACTTCTGCGGTTTGAAGGAGGAGGTCTTAGAAGTCATCCCTGGCTCACGGGATGTTGATGATACGAAGGCAGCAGCGGAGAGGGTTTAGTTCGAGCAATTTTTAGTCAAAGGCCAGCTGGCAGAAATTCGGCCCGTGGAAGCATTTGTTTTTTTTGTTGAGGCGCAGGTGGGGGTGTCTGCTAATGTGCTTGCCTGATCTTGCCTGGATGGGGACAGATGAGTCGCTGCATCACGAGATTTGTTCAGGCCCGGCAACTCTTCGGCAGACCTCCCTCACAGTTCGATGCCCTCTTCTAGAAGACTCATAAAGGGCAAGTGTTTGTTGAGGAATCGTTGTATAAGCAAAGCCAGCAGGACGGAAATCGATTTCCTGGATACATAGGCAGTGCACAGGCACTAGCAATAGCCCAGGAGCTCCAGGGATGTAAGACATCAAGAATCTAGGCTACGCACCTTTGCATTGGTTGTGAAATGTGCAGATTCTGCCAAGTTGCCAGGATGGTCAGGAAAGCAAGCAGTTCAACGGCTCTCTTCTGGCCATCGTGCCGAACCAGTGCAGCGACTGGCAGGTAGTCTGCGGTATGTGAGAATCCTGTATTTGCTCTGCATGAACCGACAGGTTTCGATGCTCGACAAGTTGCTCCGGATGGTTCGGGGACGTGTCGTGCGTCAGGAAGCCTCTCAAGATCTGACAGGCTCGGGATGGCTCAACCGGGCCCAAAACATAATAGGACACCTTAGTTTTCATGATCACGGACAGCTCCTTCATTTATGAAACCTGTCTGCATGCTGTGACTCTTCCAGACAGAGGTGGCGATGCTGGTGTACCTCGAATACTGCGACTATCATGCCAGAACGAAAGCAGCCAGCCTGTGTCTGAAAAAGAGATCGTCGTTGAGTCACAGGTTGAGGAAGCACAGGCACAGGCCCGCCCAGTGCGGATTCAGTCTTTGGTCGCCGAAGGCCCTGGGGGAACCATGACGCTGTATATTCATCCAGAAGCCACGGTGGGAGAGGCTCGAGACCTGGTGACTGCTCGTTGCGGAGGCGGAGGAGTTGCAGCCCACATCCGCATGGTCCGACGCTTTACGAGTGCCTTCTTCCTACCCTTGCAAGACGAAGCGCGCATTTGCGACGTCATCAGCGAGGGTGAAGACTTGCTCCTCTTAGGGGTGGACCTAGCTGGCGTAGAAGCTGATGAGGTGGACGAGCCTAGCACTTCTGAAGGAAAGCAGTCCGATGCGGCAGAGGCCACAGAAAGCCCCGAGCAAAACAAAGCGAAGGATGCAGCCAGCTTCCTAATTGCTGCCATGGAGTTGCTGGAGGATTCAGAGGTGCAGGAGGGCCTGATGAGTCTGAGCAGTTCTGCTTTATTGGCGGAGTGGGAACCGCCCTGGGTTGTGGATGGCGTGGAAGATCTGGATGCAGCAGCTCTCGACAACTTTCCTGAAAGTACAGTCCTCGCCTGGGCACAAAGCTTTTCGAGTCTGATTGATGCCATGGCCGGCGGGCTGGAAGCAGAAGAGACTGCAGAGGTTGAAGAGATTCAAGAGGTGGCAAACTCAAACGTCCAGACTCCGGGCGTTCAAGATATCGTCGAAGATAACGGCGATGTTGGAGGTGATGAATTAGCCATCTCGAAGACACTGCCAGCAGAGCCTTCACCTGCAGAAGCTGCCGAGCTACACGAAGCCTTCAAGGACCTTTAGAGAGCATTTTGCCTGCCTCGCGTGCATCCTGGTGGACAAACCAAATCCAAGGACGCCCTCAACAAAATCTCAGATGCGGAGGCTGTCCTGATCGTTTGCTCGGGGCGTTCAGATCTTGGGAACCATATTGCTCCTGCAGGTCTTTGTGCATGAGCCGGAAATGGAGCCTGAGCAAGAACCGGACCAGGACAGTGCCAAAGCACGTTTGTTTTGCAGCTTGGCTACTGCTCAGAACTTATGCTCTGCTGTTAGTATTTCCCGCAGGACGAAGAGGTTGTCCTTGTCGTAGTCGAGTTGGAGCATGTGGGACCGTTGGTTTCAAGTACACCAGAGCAGACGATGTACCAACGCCCCTGTACATCTCAGGCCAGAACTGCAGAAAGGATGGCCGTTGCAGTCCCTTCATCCTCCACAATTGCCGAGGTGCCCGCACAAACCTGAATTCGTCAATTTTGGGAGCTGCTTTCAACGTCGATAGGTGAAGCTGGCACTGGCAAACAGCCTCGGGCTCCCAAACGCCAGGTTCTCAGGGGCGGGTGGGCCTTCAGTGTGCCGAAGGTTCGGAAACTAAGCGTAAAACCCAGGCTGATGGATTGCAGCTCACCTCTTCAGACGGTGTGCCGAGCCCAGATACGAGTATGAGGCCATAGCAGGCCAGGCAAGTCCCACGACACAAGAGCCCACTACGCAAAGCAAGTCTTGCCGAGGTCGTATATCATAACCAGGACGCCTTGGGAAGCAGGCCAACATCCGAAGCCAGAACTGGGGCTTCCAGGGGCTGCATAACACAGCCCATTGACAGATACAACACACATGGAGACATGTGCACCGGGAGGCGGCGCCTCACTTTCCATTTTCCTGAGGCCTCTAATTGACATTTTTGCTGCATTGTTTCGGAATGAGGTCCAGGCCTGTTTCGGAGCATCTCAAGCAGCATGTTTATGCTGCTGCCGTTGAGACCAGTGTGAAGAAGATGACGCACCATGTGATAGCAGTGAAGATTTCACCACTGGGTATAATTGTTGTGGCTATATTTTGGGTCCGAGCATGTACAGACAAGATAGTAGGGTCTCGGTTGCACAGTGTTGCGCGGGGAGGATAATTTTGAGAAGCGCCATGTGCTGTTCATAGCTGTTTTTCAGACCCCAAATACAGTAGATGCAGACAGTCCTTTGACTTGACCGGATCTCAGCAGAGTGTAGCCACCTTCGAATCCAGATACCCGCCTCGGTGACTACAAGCATCGCAACAACCTGCAAAAGGGGTAGATGTGCACAGAGTTCGCCTGGCAGAGCTTATGCCAAAGTGCTGCAGAAGCTAGATGGGACGAACTTCAAAAAAAGGAGCCGGAATGGTTTGGCATGATCTAGCCCACATGTGCCTGCTTCCTGTCTGCCTATGAGTTCTATGGTTTCGACGGCTCCTGCTGTTCGTTCAGGAGTACTCGCTTACACGAAAGATGGATTCGACGCAATCTTCGCGTTGGACAACAGAATCTTGACACGAATTGGTTCAACCTGCCGCTGATTCGTGTGAAATCTTTGAGCCCACAGACGCACTTGGCTTCTGAGGCAACATCTATGCTGTCATCCTTTCGGAGATGATTTCGAACACCTTCAAGGAGGGCATGTGGTTCAAGGCGCTTACGCCATACATGCTGATCATAACCAACAATGTCAGACCCTCAGTTTCACAACATGCCGGCAGCCCCACAAATCAGATCTCAGTGAAGGTTCTGGTGGTTGGAAACTCTGCAGAGCCCAGGATCCCATTGCTGTGGGCAACATGCTGACCTTGAACGGGCTCACAAGGGCCATCGTAGGCCCAACGCCCCAACGCCCAAATGTCAATGCAATGGGTTTTCCCCAGCTCTCATGCACAGGTGTCTCCTCCGGCAGGCTGTTGATCAACAACTTTGGCATTGATGTTGTGTCTGGTTCATGCATTGGCTTGACTTGCCGTAGCTTAAGTACCGTTTCCGGTGATCGTATCATCCTTCTGCAAAAAGGGGTTGTGGGATCAAGGTGTGGCTCATGAGTGGCATGGTGGGTCTGCTGGGTCTGCTGGTCAATGTCCGTTCCTGAGCGTGCTGGAGAAGCCCCGGTGTAGCTGCGACATGATCTGAAGCTTAAGGTGATCTGTCTCTGTCAAGGCTCTGTTGCTGCAGCCTATGTTCTGAATTTCACGTGGGCTGTGAATGCCTCAGATCAGAATTGCAGGAATAGTGTTTTATGTCCTCATCGTACCTCTGGCCAAGATGCTCTAGGTGTACAATGGGCTATGGAACTCCTGTTTGGTGACCAGCTTGCATAGATACCACGGGCATATTCATTGCATTGTTCATGATTGACTACGCCTTGGCGGGGACTAGCGTGCATCACCTAGGAAACTTCATGGGCCCGCTCCATCGTCAAGAGCAAAAGAGCTGCTGGGATATATTTGGAACCAGCCCAACACAGAGAATCGTATCACACAGGCAAAGGTACTCGAGCAAAGACCATGTTTTTTTTGGGAAGGAGTGGCTCAGGAAGATGTCAATGGAGCCCGGCAGATCACAAACAAAGTGACGACATCCCTGGGGCCGCTGATCTCAGCCGCTGCAACCTTAGTCAGGGCCCATGGGTAGCCTGCGCCATGGCTCAGCTTCACATGATTTTGTAGGCGATCTTTCTCTACTGCGGCAACCGCTGGGAAGCTTGCCTTTGTTGAGTTTTGGTCAGTAAAAGCTGGGGCCAAGCCCCAGAGCAGCGGTCACTAAGGACGTCGGGCTTGTGCAAAACGTAATGCTCTTGGGCACTGCGATGACCTCCTTGGTCGCAGCTGAAACAGAAAGTTACAGTTGTGCACAAGCATGCAAAGTAGATATGTGTCTTGAACGACAATTCTTTGGGCCTCTGAGGTAGTATTGTGCTGTTGCTTTCGGAGCTCTCTTGAGATCCAGCAGGATTGCCTTTACCAGTTGTTGCTGAGAGTCGTTGACTTCAGACGAGACTCCACCTCGTCAGGATTTGCCGCTCCGGGAGATCGAGAGCATACGGACTGCTCCCTAGACATTTGGGCAGGCGGAGCAGCGGCTCTGTGGTCTCGCCGCAGGTTTCCTGTCTTGCCTGAAGATGCAGACCTCTCGGAGAGCGGCAAGGTGCAGCCTTGTATGCGAACTGTCAGTACAAGCATCTGACGCAACTGTCAGGTATCAGCGCCCATCGTTCTGAGGCCAGAAGCACTGTCTCAACAGAACTTCTTGCCTGATGATGACGGCTATGCGCAATACCTCAGACTTCTAAGCTAGCTGCCAGCTATGCTGAGACTCTCTTACCATCTTCTGAGGTCATGCTGACTTGCCCTCTGGGAGGAAACTCGGAATCCTGGGCTTCACGCATCCGTCCGCAGACAGAAATTCAAGAAGCCTTCAGATTCATGCACATTCCAATCCCCCTCTGCGTTGCTCTCGTTCCAGAGGTATCGTCACAACGAGCTTCAAGGAGACCCCGCTCATCCTGGTGAAGCAGCCCCCCGTCAGTACATTGCCAGGTAGGAAAGAGGAAAATGCAGAGCATCATTGCCCGGTCAGAGGTTCCGCGCAGCCTTGAAGGAAGTACCATCCAACCAGACCAGCAGTGCCGGCCCCAGCATGCTTCAAAGGCCGTTGCAGACGCATTTTTGGGGCTTGTGCTGGGGGTAACCAGGTGTGCTTTGCTTCCGAGACTCTTCTCGAGCTCCCCTCGCCGTAGAAATCGAATGGCTCGAAGTGTATCTTTCTCAGGCCATCTCCGGTTGCTGCATCAGTCACTGAAAGAACAAGCGGAACAAGAGGTGGATGCGAGCTCCGATGAGCCCCCGCCTGTGAACATACATCGAAGCTCCCCAGCCGAATGAGCTGCATGCATCCAGGACAGACACAGCTTTGATGCAAGCTACTGACAGCTGCATCAAGGTTCAGTGCGCTTCAGCGTGGATTGCAAGCTGCAGTCCGATATGAAGCCAGCACCTTCCTTGGGGCGTATCATGTGGAGCCTGCTTCTGGGTCCCTTGGAGGCACACCGTGAGGCAGAGGTCCAGCGTGCATGCGTGCTGAGAGCATCTCAGGCAGTAATGCGCAGGCGCTACAAGACGGCCGAGGCAATAGGGTCTGCGTATGTCTGCGTCTTGAATGTTTGAGATCCGGCCAGAGTTGCCGAGACAGGTTTGGAGGAGTGCCTGTTGGCTTTGGACCGAGAAGGACCAAGCCCGTCGGGACTTGACTACAGGTGAATCGAGATAAAGGCTTCTGCGGCTGAGTCATTGTCAGAAGAGGGGTCACATGGTGGAAGTTGCGGAAGAGACAAAAATTAAGTCAGACATGCAGCTGTGTTGCCAGGGTCACTTGCTTACCCTTTCCAAGTGACGCATGGCGCAAGCAGGATCTCGCGGCTCATTTTGTCCGCGGCTTGTCAGCTGGAGTAGGTGCTCGGTAGGCTAGGTTTTTTTTGTTTGCTTCGAAGTCTCCACGTGAGCTGTTGAGCAGCTGTGCCCAGGAGAGGCAAAACCGCCACAGAGATTCTCTCACCTAAGCGGGGCCATGCCTCCCAACCAGCCAAGACCAATATGTTGGGAGCAAACGTTATCGCCTCTCGGTCAAAAATGGGCAGTCGTGAAACGGGAAACAGCTGTACCTGCGCGACTGCATGCTATGGCCCTGGAGTCATATGGAGCTGATCAAGATCCTGATTTCCAGCGCTGGAGAGAGCTAGCATGTAGGGCCCCATCTTGACAGCCTCTCTTGCGATTCCATCAGTTTGTTGAGTAGCATGCCGCAAATTAATCCGGAGGTTGTTTGCGATGTGCTCAACGCGCTTGGTGCTGGATTCTCACTCAAGTTCATCGACTTGTTCCTCAAGGCACGAGAGGTCTGTTAATCGAGTTGACTCTCTAGCTCTCGATGGGTGTACGGCACTTCTCACGTATGCAGGTTGACTATGGGGTCTCCCCAGCAGGTGCCCGCACTTGACTTTTCCCACTTAGAGCTTGCAGGACAACAGGAGCAAGCAGTTTGCCAGTTTGTATGTCTGCTCTGCGAAGAACTGTCTCAGGGGTCTTCCTCGTCGCGTTTCTGCAGAACATTTTCGGGGCCTGGCTGACTCCGGTGTCGAAAAAGCTTCTGGTCACTTCTCTGGATTCAATTTCTTTGTGCACGTGGCTCCCCACACGGACGCGCGCCATTCCCCTGATGACTTTGCAAGCTTCTGTCTGTCCGAATCTCCGAAGGCATGACATTCGCCTACAGTAGCTGCTGCAGGTACGACTCAGGGCTGAGGGCTACCGAGCCAAACTGGGTGTAGTTCCCTGCTTGCAAAGCTTGCATAATTTTCCGTAGCGCACGACAATGTCATGAGTCATAATGAACAGAGAGGCTCTGCGTCGCACCGTGAGCTTAGGTGTTTATCTGGTCTCTGGCTCTTTTCTTCCTGGCCTTGGTGTGCATTCCTGGAATGCCTCTGTGCGTGGTTATACCCTCCATCATCCTCATGCAATCATTGAACTCTTGCACCCGTGCTTTCAACCGGGCGCAGCTGATCAACTTTCTGCCGCGCGAGAAGATTGCTGTGTACATGACCTACGCTCAGTTGGTTGCGTGATGTCACAATGTCAAGATTCTTCCTCCACTGATGGTAAGGACCTGGGATGCGCTTAACAAGGCCAACCAGGGTGGGATCGCCATCTTCGGGGCCCAGGTTGTTGCTTTCGCTGGTTATCGGGGCTGCTTCCTTGGCACCTTCTGCCTTTTGCTGATTCGAGCCTTAGCCTGCAAATCATGTTCTCAACTCTTCGAATGCCTTGGTGGTTTGTTCTGTTGGGTGCTAACATGTTCTGAAAGTCGTCCCTGCTAAAATCCCGTGACAAATCTACCGTAAAGCCATGATAGCCATGACATGCCATGGCCTTCTTGAACTGGCTGACTGATGCTGAGCTCACAACAAGGCATGATCATCTATTTGGCGTTTACGCTCCGACGCGGCACTGTGTACAGAGGCCATGGCTTGATTTCTTCCAGATTGCTATACATGCCATTTTTTTCGGACAAGGGACGGTCCCGGGACGAATGCCCGTGTCAGATGCTTCACGATACCAAATCCAACCTGCATCAGTCTACAGTTGTCTGGTGGAGAAAACATGTGCAGCTGTTGTCCAGCTTCCTGCAATGGCTGTCAGATGACAGATTTCGCAAAGAAGCATGTGAGTCAGTCGGTTGCCGCCTGGCGGTGACAATGGTCACAAGTGCAGCGCGCATTCCCCCAAAACTCAAGCAGCAAAGGATCATAGCGCGACGTGTGTTCAGGTAATTATGTGTTGGTCAGGTTTGTGTCCGGGGCTTGGTGGCAACCAAGCGCAGAGCATTAGAAAAGTGTCAGGCATGCTGTCAAAGGCTGGTCGCTGAATCTCAGGGGAGAGGTCGTGGATTGAACGACTGAGTGCGGCAACTTGTTGCAGAAGAGATTGTGCGCAAGGCGGCTACTTGCGCGAGCTTGAGGAGTCGACCCTTAAAACGGCGACTTCAGAGCAATCCCTCCTGCCACCTTGCCTTCATTTGACGTTTGCTTGTCGTGCTCATGTCGCAAAAACCTCGTGCAAGCAGAAGCATGCGCAGTCGGTAAGGATAACCGCAGAGGATCTCAACTGCATCGTGCCTGCAAATGGGCATGAGAACAGGCAAAGCCATGAAAGATAAGTCATATCAACCAAGGTGTGGAGAACTTGCGTGCGGTGTATGATGGAGATCAGGACAGCAGAATGGGCTTGAGACAGTTGTGCCTGTCACAGCTGATCAGGAGTCACAAATGTTTCAACCAGCAGAAGCGCTGGCTTTGGCATCAGAAAATCCTGCCAAGCTCCAAGGCGGACAGGCGCCCACCGCTCTGACTTGAACCTAGTATATGCGTTAAGTTAAGTTGCCCTCTTTCTGCTGCACCTGCACCCGGGGCTGCCTCAGCAAGTCTGGGTTGCTTTGTCGGCAAAGCGGCAAGGCATCGGGAATGCCTGGAGGCAAAAAAACTACAGAGCCTAAATGTGCGATCCCACAACCTACCCGCCACTGTTGCATCCGAATGCAAGCTTCCCGCCCTGAGAGGAGCCAGCCCAACTCGACCTTCAAAAAGCAGCAAAGCATTCACAGATCTCCCTGACTGAGCGGTCAGGTGCAAACCAGGGGTCTCCCGTACCCACAGCTTTCATTGAAGCTGAGCCGACTGAGTCACAACAAAATGCAACGATCTTGATTGCCCTTGGGCGCTGACTCAAGAAACTTTGGGCTTTGAGGTTTTTTTTCTGAAGCGGGCTGGGGACTGAAGGCTTTTGAGAAGCCTCCGGATAAGCAACTCCAAGGGGCCTCCGGTGAGCTAGTATTTGCAAAACTGCACCGGGACTGCCGGTATGCCAAGTGACGCCTGATTGGCCAGCAGAGCTGGCACGCACGCGGATTTCTTGGGCAAGGTGTCTCTTAGCAAGCTTCACCAGAGAGTGCTAACGCATGAAACAGCTTCAAGTTTGCAGTGTTCGGGTGGGGCCTTTGGGCTTGCTTTCTGAGACTTTGGTCGTCTGCAGCAGGGCTCGTGATGCATTGCTGTTCTTGCACCTTGGCGCAGGGCGAGCTGCTTGAAGTACCTGTGGTGGCTGCACTTCTGCAAAAAGTCTGGACAGGCTGTGGATGGTTGTGGGGCATCATATGGTGTGCCATAATCCAAGGAAGAGCTTCTGAATGATGAGCAGAGGCAGATATTACTACCTTGCCAGCTCTTTCAGAAGTGTACGGCGGCACCAGCTGCGAGGCCTTCCTCGCGCCGTGGTACGAAGGAAGCGCGCTAGAAAACCATCACAGAATGACTGTAAATGTAAGCCTCTTTGCAGCTGCATGCGCAAGACGCGCAAGTCAGCTGCCAAGATTTCCACCCCACCGGAGCAAGAAATTGGCTTCGACTAGGTGGATGCATTGATAATGTACAAAGCTGGGTACTCCATCATGCCGGTGCAGTTATCGATTCGAAGAGCACGTCCGCCAGGGCTGTGAGAGGTTAATCACAAGCTGCCTGCTCTGCACGGCTATCCTGTGTGCCAGGCATTCGATGATGACGATGATGAAGTGATTGACGTTATTCAGTCTGCTCATGAGCAGACCTGATGGCATTTGCCAGAGTCTCCTGTGTTCCCAGGAGCCTACCTTAGGACCTGTAGTAGTTTCCATTTTTTTCCACTATCACAACATTACCCCTATAAAGCCCCAATATTACCCCCATGTACCGTGCTTCGTCAGCGGCGGCCTTGTCCTGCCCTTATGACTGACCGACTTTTGAAAGCCCCTGGTCTCTTCAGGGCCTTGGTGCAGCGAGCACCTTGTTTGCCACGTAGCTATTTGTCTGCAGGAGCCCGGAACACTTTTGAACTCACCTTCTCTAAGATGAGTTGGTGACCAGCACGGTGTCAGCCCCTAGCAAGAACGTTGACCCTGATAACACACAGAGGTTGCATCGCGTCTGCCTGACCGAGACACTCCAGCTGCGATTGTGTTCCGAGCGTCGCATTGTCCATAGATGTGCAGACAACAGCAAGATTTAATGGCCAGTGTCGTGAAGCCCTCACGCCGCAAAATAATGTTGTGCTTGCTTGAGACCGGTTTGTTCTGTTTCTGTCTTCCCAGCACGGAAGCGCTGTCCCGCACGTTGTGCATACAGATCCTGCCTTCAGCCTTCATCCTGCGCTGGCGGAGAATGTCGCAGGTCGCGCACATGTGCACATGGATCCCAGCTTGCTTTGTACAACAGACGCACATAAAGCAACCCCGTTTGCATCAATGAGGTGAAAGGTCTTGATGTAGATATCTGGGTGTGAACCGCTGTTGAGCCAATGAGTTGTGTTGATACCTCACAGATGCTCGACCTAATAGGGCTAGAGGCAGTATAAGTGTACATATCCTTTATCACTACACAGCCATCGTGCCGATATGCCAGCCGTGTCGGCGTCGGCGTCGGCTATGGATGTCAGAAGGGGGCCTAGGTGTGAAAAACTAAGCAGAGGTGCATGTGGCACACACCACAGGCTGAGCAGGGGTGCCAAACGCCTGCAGAAGTTCTGCAGCTGAAAGACCTGTCAGATCTGCTTTCTACTACAAAATGCGCTGGCGTAGAAGGGGCAAAGCAGCTGCAGCGCTTCTGTCGCTGTTTGCAAGAACCTCAGGCTCTCGCTGCGTCCTTCCGATGTGGCAGGGGTCTGCCGGATTTTGCGGCAATCACCACTGTGATCTCAAGCTTGATTTCCTTCGACACCTCCACAGGTCCAGACAGCAGCTCTGCCGTAGAGGCAGCTGAAAGAGCAGAGGCCATAATGGAAGCGATCTCTGCTTCTTTGGTGGGCGCAGCAGCAGAAAGGCCACATCACGTTGGAAACCCTGAGAAATCGGAGCTCCAATGCCAGAGTAAACCTGATGAAGATCGTGATTGCATTTGGATCCTTAGCCTGCTTGCAGCAGCCTTGCCGCTGCTAGCAGATTCGCTACCACAGGATGACAGCGGGTTGTGCGTTTTACCCCATCAGCACGGAATGGACCTCCAGAATGCGGATGACTTGTGTATGCCAATGCGCCTTTGGAACGGCCGTCGAGCGTATGATACCCAAAAAATCTGTGACCGATGCATGGAGGCCATTTTGGACCGGGAGTTTTACCACTGCTCCAGAGACTGTGATGTCGACTTTTGCCGAAACTGCCATGCTGAACTTCAGGAAGTATTAGACAAACACTTTACTGCGCGGAGCTCGACCATGCCAACCGCACATTTGGTTGAACGCATGCTTTGGACTATGCACGTGACCGACGAGCTTGCCTGGCAGATTGTGCACCGAACGCAGCACGAACGCATGACACTGGCAAGTGCGCTTGCAGAGGAGTTGCCGTTGGGGATGTTCTCAGACCTCGTCACGGCCGTTGTGGACGTGTGCAACGCAAAGGTTCTGTACAACGCCTCAAACGGAGCCGTAACGTCATCCGTGAGCCGTTCGTACATGCAACAAGAGCGCTATGAGCAGCAGTCTTGCCCTTTATACGAAGATGATTGCTTCTGGAAGACTGTCGGCCTTTTGCAATTCCTCTATGCCAGCAACACGCTTCGAAAAGAGTTGCCGGATTGCGTACAGTGCGAGGGCGAACAACGCCCTTCAGTCAGTGCCTTAAGCTTCGTGCCAGAGGCGATCAACCAGTGTCGCCCGGAAGTGGAGTGGGAGCATTGGAGCAGGAGACGCGAAACAGGCGCTCTACCGAACATCCTTGCATCACAGAACTTCACAACAGAATCGCAAGAATTTCGGTGCCTCGCCGCTCATGCCAATATTCTGCCCATCAACTTTCGGAGGAGTTGCGTAGTTCAAGATGTGCGTCAGTGCTGCTGCGATGCCGTTGGACACGCGTGGCAAGAGCTGCTTGCCAGGCGGGTCATCGTTGGGCGAGAGCCCGAGATTCTTGTTGCCGACCTGGAGGCCTTCCTTTGTGAAGAGACTGGAGAGGCAAAGGGGAAAGCCCAAGAGCGAGCTGACATGGACGCGTTGCAGATGATGCCTCGAGAGCCTGAAGGAAGCGGCCGCCTACAGCAGCAGAGCAATACAGAAACAAATGAAGCTGAGGGACGTGAAACTGCAACGAGAGCGACCTCCGCACAACTGCTGCGCTTGCCTTTCCATGTGGCCTTCCGTGGAGAAGACGGGCAAGGGCCGGGAGTCAGGAAGGAGTTCTTTCATGCAAGAGCCTTACTGCTGGTAGGTGTGATTAGAATCGCCTGCAACCCATCAATCCAATCAACAAGCAGCAAGCCCTTTAAGCTAGTTTGTAGGTTGCAACGCGGGCATTTCTCACGCTTCTGTTTGAAGAAGTGTGCAGCCGCCAGTGCGCACCAGTTGCCGAAAGTTTTGCGCTAGAGAGACTGTTGTCAGCATCATGAGGTACTGGTTCAAGATGGTCGACAGACCAGGTGCCTTCTTTGTCATCGGCTCGGCAAGTAAATGGCACTTTTGCATGTTTTTGGAGCAGCCTTGATGTACGAGGCATTTGGAGCATTATTGGGCCACGCCGTTGTGCATGACGTGCTGGCCTCTGGCTTGAAAACAGGGGGTGCATCTACCATGAGAGTTTCACTGTGATCAGTCCTCAAGGTACTGGTCCCAACCGCTTTTCCTTGGCAACCGCCCCAGATATGGCATGTGACTTATCGTGGCACCTGGCAAGCGCCTTGAGGACCTTGTTTGACTTGCTTCTCCGAGAACTGGGCTCTCCGCCAGCTCCTCAATGCATTGAAGGAAGAACTGCAGAGGCATTGCAATGTAGAGGCAGGCATCTGGCCGGCTCAGCCTGTCGCACCTTGCCGCTGTAGCTCCAGAAGAAGCGCACAGTTGGCTGCTCAGCATCGATGCAAGCTCTTGACTTGCGGACTTTTGGACAACTCTTTTTTCAAATTTGTCCGCGTAGCAGAGAGAGCATAGATGTTGGCTTTGAGCACAGGTCTGCGCCAGGTCTTGGACTACCAGGTGCGATGGGCTACTGGCGGATACTGAACAGAGATCCTTGCCACAACAGGGACCTGACATCCTGGAACATTTCGGCGAGCTCGGCTGGGAGCGTACAGGAAGGCTGACGTCGCGGAGTGCAAGTGAGTCATGATGACCTGTCATGGTGTGCGAATTGCTGCCAGGCTGCATGGGCAGCAATTGACGCAGGCCATCACCTCAGCGCGAGAGTTTTCAGATGTTTTCAGGAGGTTCTGAAGCCAGAGGCCTCCAAAACAGACTTCGTGGATGCATATATTGAGTGGTCTTCGGCTCAGCCGCGCAAAGACCTTTCAGCATCTGCTGATTCGCGGTGATGTTGCTGTTCGGTATGTGTTGGGCTGCATACTCACGCTGTACCTCTTGAGAGCAGATTGCCATCTTTGCGGATTGCGTGTGTCCGCTGGATTCCTGTGCCTCCGATGTTAGATGCCGTCTCGGATCCTGGTGCCAGGCACCTTAGCGACCGCGTCGAAGCACAATTCAAGCCCTTCAGCCGTGGATTCAAGCTGGTGGTCGCCTTGGTGCCATATCGACTTTTCGCAGACAAGCACCATCAAGCTGCATCCTGCACAGGTGATTGGCGATTCAGACATGCTTCGAATGCTGGATGCAGAGTCTGCCACCTGGCTTTGCTTGCGAGATCAGATCGATTTGCTCACGGCCAAGATAAGGCAGCTTGAGTGGATTGTCGGGGGCCCAGAGTGATCTGCAATATCCGCAACCAAGCCGTCTGTTTTTGAAGTATCTGAGAGTCTGAGAGGTCTCCGGTGCTCAGCGTCCTGTTCCTTGGCAGAACTTTTTGAGCTTCGCTTGTGACAGAAACCAACTGACACAAACCTTTTCGGGGGGGGCCGTTCAAGCCCTGGGGGAAACTCGTTCATCCCCCGCAAGCAACGCAAAACACAAGAGTCTTGCCCTGAACTAGTTAATAGCCTCGTGATGGGCATAAAACAACACATGTTGACGGGGGCTCCAAAGTACGTCACATGACTGCAGAGGGCAGAAGGGGCAATGATTCATGGTATGCTCTTGAGGATTGTGGTAATATGAATATAGCAATCACCCGTAATCGATGTGGCTGGGGACACACCATGATTAGGATGTGGGGAAGGAGAAAGCATGTCCTGTCAAGGCAGGCCTGGGGCACAGGGAAGCAGGGGAATACGGGAGCATGGGAGTAACAAGTTCGACATTACTTTTGACATCATCTTTTGACATGATGCTGGCCCTCACCAGGAATTAGAATGAGAGCGCCTGTACTGACCTTTGAGATTGCAGGCCGTCAGGTTAGAGAGCGTGGCTCCAGCGGAGGCAATCCTCTTGCGTAGCCTGCAGAAGAAGAGGAAAAAATTGGCAGTACACACCGCTACTGCAGTACCCTGGACTTCGAGTGGAAATGGCAGGCGCATGCCACGGTTTGACGGAACAGCTGCAGCAGATGGCAGGGCTCCTTCGGGCTGGAAAACTGAAACGAACCGTGTGGCTCGTCCGTGCGTGGCCTGTAAAAGAAAAGAAGCGGGAGATGACTGCAGGGATAAACCCAGCGCAATGCTCCGAAATGAAAGTAGACGAATCTGTCAAAGGTGCCAAGGAGTGTCAGCAATCCAGGCATTCGCATACAATTGTTACCCTTTATTCCCTTTCCTCAGCTCGTGGAGCGAAGAGTTCAGGGGGCGCATGCGTCTAGGGCAACGCTCTCCCAGCTTGGATAATGTCTCACAGCTATGGCACAAAAGAGTGACTTTGTCTTCATCATAATGTATGGTAAGAACCTGTCCCCACCATACAGTTGGGTGCGGGATTCGCCCACCTCCGCGCCCAAAGGAGCAAAGAACGAGAGCGTTCCAGCCAGACAGATTTTGCATGCTAATGAAGCTGACATCATCAAGGTGCTAGTTTGTTAATGTTTATTAACTATGCATAGCCTGATGGTCAAACCAAGCGTAATATGTCAAGTGACTTGCTTTGATCAACAAGTTGCAAGGATGCGTACGCGTTGCCCCAATCTTTTTTGACCAACATGGGCATGCCCGAGTTCCCACTTTCTGCTTGGTGATTTGGGCTTTCCTGTTACACATAGTCAAGCCAGGAATAAGGTACGGCAGAAAAGCTGCAGGAGCACGTAGCATCTCACAGGCAGATATGCTTTGGCATCATACTCTTTGAGCGCTGCTTGTCGGACCAGTTCCCTCCCCATCTGATTTGAGCAGCGAAACTGTAACATCCGAGATGGTTGAGGGCAAGAGATTCTTTCCTTGATGCTGTTCCCGCTTCTTGGACCGTGAGGTCGACATGGCTGCTGTGCGAAGCCGTGCTGACCATGAGGGGTGGAGCCTTGAGGCGGGGATCACTATTTCATTAGGTGCCAAGTCATGTTGCATTTCCTTGCGCAGGAGCAGGCTTCGTACTTGGAGCCATTCTGGGACTTCATAGAGGGCCTCTCAGAGGCAGGCAGCAGGCAACAAGCCCTGCGATTGTGTGTAAGATCCACCCAGCGCGTCAAAAGGACGAGAAGAAACGATTCCTGATCTTTGTCACAGCATCGGATCGGATGCCGATGCGAGGTGCAGAGTCAGAGTCACGGAATGTCACAGATTTGGAGCAATGCTGCAGTCATGGAACAGGCTGGTCAAGCCTGCGCATCCTGGTCCAGAAAAATGGCTCTGGAGACGACAGGCACGTACCACTCTGCATGCCGCTTTGGGCAGCTGTGTATCTCTCGGGTCAGTTCAACCCCCAGCACACGGTGTGTCAAGTTCATTTGCGTGGCCCGGGTAAGAGTGCGACTCTGCAGGTAACAGGTGTTGAAGCTTTAGAGATCTTCCCTGGCACTCTGCGAGTCTCCTCACTGTTGCATTGCGCTTTCGGCGTCAGCGCACATTGGCCATACATGACATAATCAATACATGTCAATCCTCCCTTTTTCCGATTGCTTGTGCGGGGAGTTCAGGTCTCAGTACGCTTCCGCCCAGGCTTCCGACAGCGTACACATGCTTCTCTCTGCTGCTGCTTCCCCTCTACAGCAGCGTGGAGGCAAAGCGTGCAGTGCACTGCTTTCAGGCTCGCGCCTCAGCTCGTCCTGCCAGGTGCTGAAAAAGAACATGCTTCTGGGCATGACAAACTCCGAGGGATTTGGTTTAAAGTGACGTCAGTCTAAGTGCCAAAGATGAGGCTGCAGGTGCACTCGAGAGAAAGATTGTTCTTGCAAATCTTGAGTCCTTCAAATATGCACCTGCAGACAGTCCTCAGCACAACCTCTGGACCCACGAGATGAAATAAGATGTACATAGTATGCTTGCAAAGTGTGCAGCCAAGCAGCTTGCAGCACCGTGTGCTGAGCTCTGGCAGCGCAGACAGGGATGCGGAAAAAGTTCATGCTTGAAGGTGGGCATGTGCTAGTGTTACATTCCCCTCCATGGTGGGTAGCCCAACTCCTTGGGGTCCATGAAATTTGTGTGAGGGCTTACTGCTACGCGGGGGCTACGATTATTTAGTTTTGCTTTGTCCCCCATCCGGCGGCGTGTTCTGCTGAATTCAAAGCTTTATCATCCTGTGCTCCGCGGATGAGGCAAATTCTCTTCGATGCGATCTGTTGAGAACGGTTTGCCAGCTGGCTTCTGTGCGCGCTGGGATGTAGTAGTGAAAGCATTTGGACAAAACAGAGCTAGGAAATTGGTAGTCTGAACAGGGCCCTGGCATTTTCAATTCAGGTTTGTCTCATCCAACAGGATTCCCACAGCCTTATTGTGCCAGTCAACGAGCGTTCTGGTTTGGGACAGCACAACATACACAACCTTCAGAAGCCCTCAGGCTGCCTGACATACGTGATCATACATGCCCATTTCCGCAGTTTGCATGCCAGATTGCAGACCACAGATGAATTATTGTTATGATGGCCAGATTCTGCTAGCCAATGAGGTACGCGTAGAGCTTGTCAAAATCACCTAACCACATCACAACTGGACTTGCGGCATGTCGACTTGTCTCCCATGGCCTTGCCTGAGGCGTGACAGGGCTCAAAATGCACAGCTTGGTACAGGTTTGGCGTGGATGCGAGTTGCTTGGTGTAGCTGCAGGCTTTTTCACCGCATGCGCCCAGCGGAGTGCCAAAGACTTTGCACTCCTGGTGGGGTCGCCCTGGCCTCTGTGGTTCTGCGGTGACTCACCTCGACTTCTCGCAGACACATTGCGCCTAAACTTGAGGCGTTGATCCAGATGAGCTGGACAGAGCGCGGCTGCCCGGCACACTTCCTGCTGTGCGTGTTGAATGCCATTTTTGCTAGGGAGCTGATTGGGACAGGTCTTATGAAGGGCGGGGAGGGGAGAGGAGGGAAGGGAAGGGCAGTATGACTTTTTCCGCTGTTTTCCAGCCGGCCACCGGACACCAGACACCACACTGGCCACCGGCCACCGGACAACGGACACCGGCCACCAGCCACCGGCCACCGCCCCACGCCACCGGCACCGGACAGCGCGATCGTCGCAATCGTCGTCATCGCCTTCGTCATGTTGTGGTCGTCACAGGCGGCGTAACGCAACAGCCCCTGCTGTATTCCTCAGCATCTAAACTATAATAACGTTCATGCTCGACTGCATCCGATGACCCGAGCATCCATGCCGAAACTATAAGAACGTTCATGTTCGACTGCATCTGATGACCAGAGCTTCCATGCCCAAACCAAAATAACGCTCATGTTTGACTGCATCTGATGACAGAGCATCCATGCCGAAACCAAAATGATGTTCATGTTCGACTGCATCCGCTGACCAGAGTATCCATGCCCAAACCATGCTAATGTTCATGTTCGACTGCATCTGATGACCTGAGCATCCATGCCGAAACCATGCTGGCTTATCTTCGACTGCATCCGATGACCAGACATCCATGCCCAAACCGCAATAACGTTCATTTTCCACTGCTCCGATGACCAAAGCATCCATGCCCAAACCATGATAACGTGCATGTTTGACTGCATCTGATGACCAAAGCATCCATGCCAACCATAATGATGTTCATGTTCGACTGCATCCGATGAAGAACACATCCATGCCCAAACCATGCTAATGTTCATGTTTGACTGAGTCAGAGCATCCATGCCCAAACCATGATACATAATGTTCACGTTCGACTGCATCTGATGACCTGAGCATCCATGCCCAAACCATAATAATGTTCATGGTCAGCTGCATCCGATGACCAGAGTATGTATCCATGCCGAAACCAGAATAATGCGTATGTTCGACTGCATCCGAGGACCAGACATCCATGCCCAAACCATAATAACGTTCATGCTCGACTGCATCCGATGACCAGAGCATCCATGCCGAAACCATAATGATGTTGATGTTCGACTGCATCCGATGACCAGAGCATCCATGCCCAAACCATGATCACGTTCATGTTCGATGTCCAGGGCACACGCGCCTAAGCCACAAAAATCGTATTTGGAGAAGTCGTTGTTGTCGTCTTCGTCATCGTCGTCTTCGTCATCGTCGTAGTTGTGGTATAGTCGTATCGCCGAACCGCAACTCCGCCGCGCCTGCCACCGGCCACCGGCCACCCCACCGAACACCGGCCACCGGACCCTGGCCACCGGACACCGGACACCGGGCGCCAGCCACCGGCCACCCCACCCTCCACCAGACACCGGACACCGGCCCGGCCACCGGCCACCGACGGAATACGTCTATCCCCGGGAAGGGAAGGGAGGAAAGGCGTACAGGGGGAAGGAACATGGCGTGGAAGGAAGACTGGCTTTGGTAGAGGGCAAGGGATAAGACAGGTCCGGGGTCTGCATCGCGTACGCGTTTGGGTGTGTAGCGTCTGCGATTGCCTTTCCAGGTCACGAAGGTGCTGACAAATCAGCAAATGACCTGACTCAGTTCCACAAACTCCCTTCGCACTCAGTGCTTTTCCCTGCACAGCCTTCTGCTGAAAAGTCGTTCTGCTGTCCCAACTCAGACCATTAACAGAGGCACCACGTGTCCGTGCCTGTCATACCATAAGCCTTTAACGCGAGCACGGCCTCCTCTATGTCTGAACGGCGTTGGTTGTTTGAGACTTTCTTTTCGGGCCTTGCATGCACCTCACGAGCCTAGGTCAGTGAAGAGTCTGGACGTTTGGAGGCGAAGTCTCAAGTTCAAAGACAGACAGTTCGATGTGAATTTCTTGGACAAGGTGCTAAGACACCTGTCGCAATTACTGAGCTCAAGTCAGTGGCTTAAATAGGAAGTTGTAACGACTTCTCAGCAGATGGTGGCACATAAAATCGAAGCTGCGCTGCGAGGTCAGTCCGTGCTGGATCTGGGCTGTGGTTCTGGGCTGCTCGCGAAGGAGGCCTCTTGTCAAGCTCTCCTAGGGCCCTAGGGTACAAAGGAAGAGATTTGCAACATTGTCGTGCAGGCTCACCGCCGAGACATCATTGGAGCCAGGGGTCCCATGTGATGTTGCCATGCTTGTGATATCTGCCGGAATTGATGAAGCATGACAAGTGCAGGGACAAAACTTCGACTCAGGTGGAAATGTGCTCCACAATGGCGCAAAAAGCGTCCTCCTCCTACTTGCTGCATGTCAAGTGGCAAGCCGTGGGGTGCAGCGCTGCTACTAGCATTACTAGCAGCTGATTGCAACATTAGGTTGACCCGGATGGACACGGTGGTGACTGAAAACTTGCTGGAGTTCTATCCCAACGACAGATGCTAGCTCAGCTTATGAGGATGCAGGCGCTAGCTACGAGACTGCATTTGCTTACGCGTGAGGTCCGGATGCTGTGGTGCTTGCAAACGTCCTGGAGCCTTACCCAGCGGAGGCACTCACGCACAACCGGTCGGCCTACTACAGCTTAGCATGCCTCCAGGTGAGAAGACTCTTGTTTGCTCATGTTCATCATTTTCTGCGGCCTGGAGGGCCATCCGGCTGCACTGGTTTGGGCCTTCAGGATTCGGCTTCGCACAATACTTTCAAGATGTTTGATTAAGTTCAGTCACCAGTTCAGCTGCCCAGCTGTCATCCGGAATATGCCATGGCAACGTTGAAGCAGTGCGCACCATGTTCCTCCCATAAAGGGATTCTCTTCTTTTTACGACTTTGTGTGACCACTGGCCACCGGCAGATGTCATTGGCTCAGAGCCGTCATTGTAGGCTTCTATTAGCGCGTATCCGAGGCAGATAATCGTTGCGGTCACGATAGGTGAGACTGGCTTAGGCCAGGAGCTCCGCGAGGTGTGCATTTACCTTTTGGAGCACTTTGGACATTGAGGCACGGCGTCAGAGTCTGTCTTGGACCTGATCTTCCCAAGTGTGTTCGCCTGAGTGCAGCTATGCATCTAGCAGCAAACACGAGCGCAAGCTGGAGGCACCCTCCATGCAGGCAGACGAGATCGAGGAGCCAGAATCTTTGATGGTAGAATGGGACGATGAGGTGTGAAGAATTAGCGACATCATATCAAAGTCAAGTTCGAAGGGAGATTGTGTTTCAGGCAAAAAAGGTGCAAGGTAGAATCGAGCCCAACACTGTCCTCACAGCACATGGTGTATGCCACGCTTCTCCGGCTGCTGTTTTGCAGGAGGATCTTATGCTTGCTGGATTTGAAGTGGCGGTGCCGGAGCTCCTTTGCATCAGAAGAGCTCGACAGGCAGCGCCCTTGCATGGGAATGTGCTGAGCTTGAGAGAAATGTGTCTGATGAAGAACTGCCCCATCAAGCAGCCGTTGTCAGTTCAAGCATTGACAGAGTCTGCCAGCAGCCACGAATTTCCAAAGACCTCACGCTGTGAAACAAGCATTGAAAGCCATCCCGTAGCAGTGCGCCCTCCATGGCTCTCCGGTTCCGACGAGAGGGCGACTTCATCAAGCACAGGGTGCACATGGAGCGCCAGCTCTCTCAGATAGACCGGTGACAGTGCTACGGTATCAGACCAGATTCCCTCATCTGTGCCCGGCTTGCAGGCATGGGCATATCGCCTTGGATTGAGGACAGTCTGTTGCTCTCTGAAGCCCAGTCATGCTGACACGCTACTGCACGCTTCCGCCAGGATTTCAAATGGCGAGTGATTGATTGGCACTACCAGTACTACATGGGCCCCAAGGAGTGAGCAAGTTGGGTCAGCTCCGAATGAAGGGCAAGAGGATGTGTGTCAGGCCCGAAACGCAGTGATGGCGAACCAACGCCACGCTCGCTCCATCCAGGCCAGACCTTTAATCAGTTTGCAGGAAAAGACGGGGAAATTTGAATCCTTTCTTTTGTTGCTGGAGCAACAGCCGTTTCCACATTGTCACGCAGGACATGTACGATAAGCGAGCCAATGGCTTCGTGCAACGACTATCGAAAGAGGATTCCTCGAAAGCCTACAACCACGCGAGGAGCATGAAGCAGATAGTTGAAACCACCAGCATCCACCAGCAATCTCAGACCTAAGCAGGACCAAACACTTCGCCTGGACCACCTTCCTTCCGCGGGTGCCCGTCTTAGCTTGCGCAATAGTGATTCTTTGTGTTGGCTGAAGGCAGATACAAGCTCAGGTCACGCCACTGCAGAAGAGTTCCAATCCTTTCTGTCCGGTCACACCCAACAAGACTGGCTGGCGCGAGTACATGGAGCAGAAGGAGCCCTGAGTCAATCTGTTCTCATTACAACAGTCTGTGAAGATGAGAGGATCCCTATAGAATCCCTCTACAAGATATTCCCTTATTCCCTATAGTAGAACCCCAACATATGCCATATGAGAGCCTTTGCCAGGAGGTGCGGGGCGCAGTTCGGCCAAAGTCTCCGAAGAACAAGCAGTAACCCCTGGCCACTTCTTCCCTAGTTCTGCTCTGAAGAAGTCATGACGGCGGCATACGTGCCAGGCACAGAGTCCAGTACACCATGGATCCCAAGCCGAAGGCCGGCTTTGTGACATCAGCTTTGCAATTTCCATGTTTTTTGACCATGCAGGGCCCCAAGCATGTCATGTCCGGGACTGACGACACTGTCCCCATCTTCCCGACGCAAGCCTGAGCACAACTTGGCTGCTGTTCTGCGGGCTAGTCTGCTTTTGAGAAGCTAGACGCCCCCATCACAACGCTTCGTGTGCCTGCTGTGAAAAGCTATGTGCAAGTTCAACCGCCGGCTGCATCAGACGCTGTTGAAAGGGGACATGCAGAAACTATCGTGGGCCCACGCTCTTGCATCTTGATGCCTTCTTTCTGAGCCCCCTCTAGGAGCCAAGTCGAGCTCAAAGACGGTCCATTGCATGCACCTGAGTCACGCATCCAATAAGGCCATGTTAATATGTGAGTCAGTTCCAGTTTCAAGTACCAGGCTGCATACCCTTGCTGCTGCCCAGGCAATCCTGATTGGGCGCAAAGTCTGATTGTGGCTCAATGCTGGCGATCTACCTCGTTCAGCTTCGGGCAGAAGAAATGTGCCTGAACCATGCTTGAATATGATTTAGTCGGCATGGCGTGTTGAAAGCTTGTCCAACAGCCGCCTCGCATTTTCCTGCTCGAGCTTAAAGCCCTATCCGGGAGCGGTAAATCACGAAGCCATATACTACTTAGATTCCTGCTTTTCCCAATTGTAGCAGGCGCTGTTGCTGTGGAATCTCTTGCATCTGTGAGAGGCAGTGCAGGTGCCATAATATTAACGCTAACGCGCACCGCCTCGGCTGGATCGCCTGTATAGCAGCCTGGAACAAGACAGCTTCAAATCACCTTGTGCCTTCCTGGTGCCTTCATATTCTCAGATCACCTTATACTCCCTACGTAATCTTAGCACATAATCTCCTTATAAACCAGAGCCCGGTATGACCTTCCAAAATACAACATCCCTGTAGAGCCCTGTGCAATACCTGAAGGGCCTTATAAAATATCCCCAGACATTTGTATGGAAATTACGGATCCTCCAGCTGCACAGTTGGTTGAATGAGGCGGACCATAGAAACGAGGAGTAGAAGGTGGTGGGAGAAGCCCCCTGAAACCAGGCTAGACCCACGGGGGGTCACCTGATTCCCGCGGACCTGAGGCCCGACCCCCATGCTTGCCGCCCAGTTCCACCAGACCTCCGCGCACAATAACAGGTTGAACGTGGAGACCGCCTGCGCACCAGTCCGCTGGGAGTGTAGAGTCTTGCTCCCCCAGACGCCAGAGGCCTCGGGCCTCGGCGGATTCATGTTATCATTGCTCTAGACGTGCGGCAAAAGCAATAAGCTTGAGCGCTTCGCGTCAGCGCCCGCCTAGATGCCTAGGAGACCTATTCAGCATGTCTGGGTAAAGCCGCATTTGCTCAGCTCCGGACTGTGTAGCCACTCCAGAGGAATTCGTCTGCAGATGAAACCAAAACCAGAGCACGTATTGGAAGGACCCCTTGTTAGTCGGGGGAAAGAATGTCATCGTGGAGGTTGAAGGGTTCAGGGAGTCCGCGCTTGGATTCGCGGGAATCAAAGTGACCAATTGATGAAATTGCCCCAGCAGTTAAGGCCCGTGGGGCTAGAACCCCTGTGCAACGCCAAAGGGGGTTTTGGGCGGAGGGATCGGGGGTTGTCTTGAATGCCCGATAGACTGTAAAACGGACTGTTTGGAGTGCGAGGCCGCCATGGATGCATCATACGGCATTTTCCTCGGTGGCTTTCATATTGATGCCCAGACCTTCGAGGCTCAGCAGATGTTTGTGGCAGCGTGCGTGCATGTCTGCATGGAATATTGAAGGCCATGTTCTGCATGGTCGTGGTTATGGTGATGCTGCGGCTGGAGCTGTTCAGGACCTTGCTACACACAGAGACTTCTTGCATCCTTACTAAGCTTCCGTGACATCTCAGCACCTTTTGCACATTTTAGGGATTCGAAAATCAGCCTTGGCAACAAAACGCAACAGGCGGGCAGTAAATGGACGTCCAGGTGAAACAGCTCCGTCTTCAGCCCGGCTTCCTCCACATGCAGTAGCTTAACACCATAGCTTATCATCCAGCATTATGCATGCGTCTTGTATGTCGCGCTGAGGTCGCCAGACAAGTACAAGAAACTGCTGCGAGAGTGCGCGCCAGAGGCGACACACTGACTGACGGACATGTAGCAATTTCGAGCTGGCAAGGGTGTTTTGCCAAACAGCTATTGCGTGATTGCCGTGGCTTTAGGCGATCGGCACGCTCGCGTGCATTCTGCTGGTGGTAGCCTTGAGATCTCGGGGCGACACCATTGGCGAGTCCATGGACGAGCGGTCACGTGAGGTCATCTCTATGTTTGGAAAGGAAGCTTGAAGTGAAAGTAGGATTGCTTCTTGCAGGCCTGGGAAGCCATCAAGGCCCAGTGGCCAGTGCTGATGACGGCAGACACCCTGCTTGCCCTTCAGGCTTTGTCTTCACAACGCTAGCTGCAATGCTGTGCATGTCAAGATAGTGCAGCCGTTCACAGCACAGCACGGCACGGCCACTGTCTAGGATTTCTTCAGGATCATGTGCTGACTGGACGCTGCCACCAAGAATGTTTAGTGCTGGCAAGAAACATTGGAAGCGGAATGAGAGCACGCTGAGCATCAGTGCTTGTGGCAACTTCTGGGACAGCATGTTCAGGTGATGCTGCGACTAATTGTAGTTCTTTCTGCGGTGTTGCGATCAGGCAGGCCTCACTTCAAGTGGAGGGAACTAGATGGATGGTCGTCGCACGTTACCTGTCGCAGATCTGTCCAGGCAGCGGGCAGGTTTCGCCATTATTTGATGAGTGTGCGATGCCAGATGCCCAAGAGCCGAAAAATGAGACCGGAGAAGAACCACCGGCAGCCAGTTGTGAGATCTTGCATGAGGAGTCGCTAGAACTGCAATGAACTGCTTCGTGTTATCCTGGATCGAGGCTGTGGTTTGGAGGTGCTGCTGCAAGATCAGTGGTCCTGATGCACAGCAAGGCAGCAAGAAGTAATCCTAAACATGCTTCGTAATTCAAGAACTTAGTTGGAACATTCTTCGTAAAGCATGCTTTCCACAGCATCCTTCCAGGCTTATTGGCTTGAAGGACCTGTTGGCGGCGTCATTCCCACACTCCTCGAGGTCACTGAGTGATTTGCCCATTGCTAGGCTGCTGTTCAGTGACAGGTCCTGCTGGCGCCCTTGCTCTTCATCCTGGGCAAGCGCGCACTCCGTCGATCCACAGTGACAATGCTTACTGCCAGCACCTCACCATTCTAGCGGTCAAGAGATGGTGAACGTCCTGCACCCAGCTTTGCTTGCAGGTTGTAGCCTTGGTTGCTGTCTTTGCGCAGCGCAACAACATTCAGCTGGCCTGAAGCCAAACAAATTCGGACCTTCCGGATTTGATTTGCAAGTTTCCGAAATAATTTGAGGCCGACGAGCCAGAAGCGAACGTGCTGTTCACCGCGGCTCATTGCTTCGAGCTCTTATCAGCGGTGCTTCTGCTCAAATTCCTTGTTGTCACAGTTCAGCCAGCGAAACACGCTTCTCGACATGGCCAGCCTGCAGGTGCTATATCTTGCGCGGACGTTGCTGTCTGACAGCGCCTTTCGGCTAGTGAGTATAAGTCAGCTTGGAGCATAATCTTAGTTTAAAAGACACTTGGGTGCATTCATCAGGGGGGGGCCGCCTAAGTTCAAGCGTATCAAGCTAAGGATAGTCAGGATTTGGAGTTTTCCTTGACGTTCACGCCTGGCTCTCAGCTGGCTGCAGCGCTAGAGCCAGGCTGGAATGTTGCTGAAGAGGTTTCATTCAAGAGCTTCATAAAGCTTTGATGCATGTCCATAAGGCATCTTGTCATGGTCGTGCAGCAAAGTTTGGCCGTATATTTCTGGTTGCAGGCAGGGCTGTGTCCGCCTCTTGACTGGCTGTGTGACATCATTTGCAGGCTTTCGAGCCGGACACTGTGAGCGGAATTGGGCGCATGACTTACCTTGGCGACACTGCTTGGTTATGTGAATCCGAGTTCCATGCAAAGCAAACCCGAACGCTGTCCGTGTTTACATTACCTTGCTTTGTTTGAGCCACAGGTTTGGAATAACTGCTATACAGTTCAGCTGCCTTGGACAGCTCTGCGCGTGCGCTAGCGTTGGCAATGCAAGCCAAGAAGGTGTTCTGGGCACCTTCTGCACTTCTGACAGGTACCTGGCAGCAGCCTCTTTGCACATCGCCACTTGGCCTGGGCCTCAAGTAAGCCACTCATCAGGACAGGCGTGCCATGGAGCTTGCAAGGTTTGTGGATGATGCGCATCAACCGCTTCATGCAAGTCTGTAGACGGGGGACATCGTCCTGTTTCACTGTCATGCGACGTGCAAAAAAAACATGTCCTGTACTTTGAGTGAACTGCTAGCTTTGCTGTCGCGTCATCCTTTGGAACAACCCTGCCCAGACCGACATTGGGGTAGTTCCCATTTTGGTACCCCTAAATTTTAGGAGCGGTAATATAGCTCATAGCCCAAAGGCCCCTAAATGCCTGGGAGGCCCCCATTTGGGGCTGAAGTAGCTTGCTTGTGCTGTGGTCATCGTGCCCGAACTCAGCAGGAGGGAATAACCGCTGCCTTCGGTCCGAAACTCGCATCTAGAGTCTCACCTCGTCACTCACAACTGAGATTGTTCGGCAGCACCAGGTATGCATGGCAAACCAAATATCAGGAAAGAAGGGGTGGTAGATTTTTTTCGCACTGTCGCTGAATTATTGAAATCATAGCCGAGAGGGCACGCTCCCCAGTATCGTCCTCGCTGAACAACGCTGGATAGCGATGGAAGGACGACAGCCTGACACGGTGATTCTAGCAACCAAGGTCCAAGAGGCTCTTTCAATGGCAGCTTTGCGCGCGCCGCCTTTCGAACTCGATGCAGAGCCGCCCTGATCTTAACGCAGCAAGAGAAGTCTGATGGTAGAAGTTCTTTCAAGGCTTGCAGGGCAGTGTTGAGGGGGTTGGAATTGGAAAGACTAACCAAGGCTGGTCACGGGGTCGATTGACATCTCCAACGACCGCCTCGTTCAAGGCTTTTCGTGGCTGGTAGCCGCAGTCCAGGCCATGTGATTCATTCACCGTTTTGCGTTGGGCATGGAAAGCTGGGCTTGCAGGAGCAGAATCGTGTGCTGGGTGCCCTGAGTACGCAGATCGACAGCTTGAAGGTGCAGATGATCGATCATGGTTTGAGCACGTTGGAGACTCTGCGGGATGGCTTGTGTCTGGCCCTGCAAAATCTCGAAGGCTGCTCAGTCTGGTGCTGCCTCCGAGCTAGGTGCTTGGGAGTACAGCTTCTTCCTGCTGCCTTCTTGCCTCACAATCTTGTGATATCATGAGAAGGTGGCATGGTCAGTTTCGGCCGAGGTTGCACCAAGACGGAGGGCGGGCATCCATGAAGGACGCCAAGTACATGTTCCACCTCCAGCCATGTTTGTATAGCAACCTTCGACACGACTTTGAAGGAAGAAATGCTTCTGATGCAAATCAATGCCATCAAGCATGAGGTTACGAGCTGAATCGAGCTGGCCAGCTGCTCGTGAGTGATAGCGCTGTTTTCTAGCAAGGTTGGCTCTCTTCCGCGCTCCAGCGACCTGGAGCGACAGCGAGAACGCACCATGGCGGAGGCCAAAAATCTATCAACACTCTTGACATGGATTCCTTCTTTGGATAAGACGTCTTTAAAAGTGCCGCTGGGGTTGGGTGCGCTGGAGGTACAAAGTATCTCAAGCAGTCTGAGCGACCGCCATCGCGAGTCTGCTGAGCGTTTGCAGAAGGAGCTGGCAGACGTGACAGCTACGCCCTAAGATTCTGACATGCAAAGAAGTCAAGCATAGGAAGATATTTCGCATTCAGGAATCCTTGTGCAACCAGCTCAAGCGAATTGGCGATGACGTGTTCTCAAGGCCTGCATGAACAACCTTCAGCAAGCTGTGCAGATGCTGGCTTGGTCTCTAGGGCCACTGAAGTTGTTTTGTGTGTTTTTGGTTGTTTTATATTGTTTCTGCGTTGTTTGTGACTTCTGCTCCTCGTCGTCCCGCATCTCTCTGAGCCGAAAGGGAGCTTCAATTCCCAAAGCTTCCTTGAATATTCAAGGGCCTTTACAAGGACAGCAAGCCTTTTTTCCGCTTTCTCTTGCTAGCCATAGACCCGCCCGGCAGACAGACGGGAATCCATAACGCATCAGCAGAAACGAAGCTTTGTTGGCAGGAATGACGAACCCAAACACTTGCCAAACGTAGACCCACCCACGCATGCGGGCTACCCTCAAAGTTGACCTTTCCTGTCAAGCGGGGTTGCGCTCTCAGCAAGAACTACATCCGGATACACATGGCCTACGGGGACGAACGTTTGAAACTGTTTCTTGATGTGGGGTGGGGGGCCCACTCATTGCCATCCAACTTGCTATCCAACCTGGCAGGAAAAGGCAGACCATTTTCTTCATGCCGTGCCTTTCAGGGAAGATCAACGACCGCCGCGATGATCAATCCAAAACATGCCCTTAAGCAGATGGCCACCGACAATCCCCAACCCTAGGTAGGGAAATTCCGAGCTTATGCAAGTTGTCCAAACAAGCTTTTGACAGGTTCGAAACGTTAAATGCAAATGAAGTCTTCTGACCGGTTCAGTGCATTGCAAAAAAGCGGGAAATTATTAACTCCAGAATTCATCCTTTTCTGGGGATGACCAGTCCTTAGAAAAGATTAATCTGCTGGCAATACTTTTGTCATGCCCTTCCACTACCGGACCGCCCTGACCTTGCCATGCATCAATTGCTGCTCTTGTGACACTGAGATTCTTGGGGAAACGGATCAGTTCTGCTGCTGCCACATGACACTGGAAAATCCCATCAACGCCAGAGCTAATGTTGCCTTGAGCTTGTGTTCAGCAAGGGTGTCACAAAGCCTACCTCCAAGCAGGATTAGCTTGAGGATTAATCTGTTTTTCTCTGTGATTCATTCTGCTTTTATGCGAACCGAATTACCACACAAAGTGGTGGCAAATTGTCGAAATCCTCAGCGGCGAGCCTCAAATCCCCAGAGAGGGTAGCAAGTCCAGTGCTAAGGTCGGAGCCCTGCAGTAGTAAGGCAAGCCTGAAGCAGGAGTGACAAAGCCTGGAAGGGAGAAGCTGCGGGCGCAGCCAGTAGAAGACGAAGAAGAAGAAGCTGCAGGTGACGAGACTCAAAACAGTCTGAAGTTTTGGAGTTGAGAAGTCGCTGTGCCAACATCACAGGCAAAAAACATATCTTGGGGCGCGCAACGCTGACAGACATGTTGCTGTTTTTTCCAGGCGGCTGACGCCACCCCCGCTGACACCAAATTTCAATGTTTTTTCGGGTTACGCAAGTGTCCGAGCAGGATGTCAATGTGCTTAAAATGTGGGTTTTGGGACATGTTCAATGTCTTGGATGTGTCTTTGGCACGTATGAAAATGTAAAAAGCATCGTCGGACAAAAAGACAGTTTTCCTGTTCAAAACCACACGTTTGAGCCCATATAACACGATTTACAGTATTTCGATGCGCGGAATAACAGAAAAAAAACTGTCTTTTTTCGTTTCCGAGTGCAACACTTATGAGAAAGTGTGTCCATGATCGAGAGCATCGATGCTGGCCAAGATAAAAAAACGTTCGTGTCTCTAATTCATCCATGATCGAGAGCATCCATGCTGGCCAAGAAAATGACGCAACTTTAAGCCCGAAATCCCCTAAAGGTATCTGAGGTCCACGCATATAACTGGCTTTCACAATGCCAAGTCTGCAAGCTACAAATTTAGTTTTGGATTTTCATAGTTCAGGGTGTTCAGTATGAAGCCAAAATAAACCTGAAACCTCCAAGCTGGAAAGCTTAAACTCGAAACCTCAGACCCTAATCTTGTACGTGATTCCACAAAGTTCCTTACAAGCATCAGCAGTACAAGCCGCCGCAGAACAAGCAGCAGCAGGGCAAGCGACACTAGCCCTTCAGCTCTCTGAAACTCTTTAATGTGGCATTAGTACTTGATAATCCCCCTCTGGCATCAGCAGCACAAGCCGCCGCAGAACAAGCAGCAGCAGGATGAGCAACACTAGTCCTTCAGCTCACTCAAGCCCTTAATGTAATCCGCATTAGAGCTTGATGTTGCTCTTTTAGCATATTAGTTTTGCTTTCAATCTGAATGGCTGGTT